CGCCAACGGCCCGTAACGGTGGCGGCGGGCGCGAGCGCCCCGCGGAGGGGCTGTGGGGGCCGCTGCCCGCCCGCGTCAGGCGGCGGAGGCAGCGAACTTCCTCCCCCCCGGGGGGCGCGGGGTGCCGCCGTCCCCTCGGCCCCCTGAGGCGGCGGTCCGGCAGAGCGCTGCTGTCGGCGGCAAACGGGGCGGTCTCGGTGCCTCCTCCCCCTCAGCGCCCGCGCCGCCACCCCCAGCCGTCCCGCCCGGGGCCGCGCTGACAGGTAGGGCGGCCCCCGGCAGGGCTGAGGGGCCTCAGGACGGAGGTGGCAGCGGGGAGTCCCGGCTACGCGCTCGGCGTCGGGATCTGGCTGGGGAAACAGCAGACGGAGCCATTGGTTGTAGCTCTTCGGGCCCCAGGCTGGCGTCTTCTGGTTTCCGAGCAGTGAGGAAGGGCTTGAGTCATGTTTTCAAGCTCTTCGTCTGCCGCAGGAGGGTCAGAAAGGTTTGAACGTTCTCCTGCGGCCGTTTGATTGCAGGCGAAGGGCTGTAAGGAAAACGGCGGTCTGGCAGCAGGTGCCTGATCTGGCAGTGCAGAGGACTTGGACGTATGCGCGTGTGCTCACTTCAGAGGCGGGGAAGACATTCTCTCTCGCCGTAGTCAAAAGGTGGAGAGTTTATTTTTCGTGCTTACACAGCCTGCAGAATGAAAAGTATTTCTGTCAGTTGTCCCGTACCCTTTGATTTAAAGGAATGTGTGATGTGACAAGCTCCGAATGGAGTTTGATCATCCGTCCTCGACTCTGGGCTTCCTACTCCGAAATGGCCATTACTGTCAAGGTGCTGTAGTCCTATCCCAGGAGGTAAACGTCTGTTGTTCTATCCCACCCTTTTCATAAAGCCATTCATTTCCAAATGAAGTCGTAGCCTACAGAACTCAGAGAGCCAATGTCTTTCTTCCTGAGTTTCAAGACCAGATGTTCCAAACATATGGACATAGTTATCCCATGTATAATGCAAGACCATACTTTGTTTCCAAAGCGAGGAATTTCACTCCATGTCAGCCAGCTTCTGTTTGTTAGATTACTATTTCTTAGGCTTTTAGAGCATACTATTACTGAGGGCTGGTGCAGGCTTGGCATACCTGGTATTTCTGCAGCGTGAATGCTGACCCAAAATAAGGCGGTGAGAGTGGATTTGTAAGACTGACATTTTTCATGAGTGAATTTGATTATAAATACCCTAAGTACAGCCTGGATTGAAGGCAGAGTGGTAAAGTTCTCAACAGGCAAGATCTATCAATGTCACTGAAGACAGAAGTATTCCATAGCTTAGCTGCAGCCCTTACACCACTTAGCTGTTGCTGCTAGAGGAGGCTTTTCCATTGCTTTTCCTAATAGTTCTGCTGTGCGGTCTTTGGAAGAGACTGCCTTTCAGTGTTCAGCCCCAGAACGCCACCCTGTTGGAGACTCATTTATTAGGCTACTTAACTGCAAATGGATGCTCTCTGAGAAGAGAGGACTAGTCAGAGATGTGAGCCGAGGGGCCCGGAATTTTGGGGGAGGGTTAACAGTAACGCCCCAGTAAAGGCAAGCTGTGGAAAGCATCTTAATAGGATAAACGACTTAACCTAGGCAAACAATGAAACATTATTCTCTAGTCAGCTGCTGCATGTAGCATAGAGGCATTAGCAGGTGGTATTAAAAAGATTTTTTGCCTTTCTTACTGCATGGGCTTTCTCTTGACCTGATTTTTGGAACTAGGCAGATGCCCTATTAGTCCCGTGAATGAAAGGGTTTCCACCTATTGAGACTTGGTTCTGTATTACTAAAAGCAGCAGATGGGGGACTGCATCTTCTCTCCCAATCTGGCTGCACTGAGGTGGTATCCGAGTCCAGGAGGTGAATTTTTAACCTACTGGACCTGGGGACGTAACAACAAATTTAACAACTTTACTACTTTCCCCTTTCCCTGTTATTCACAAATCATGAACGTATGTGGGGAGTCTTGCTGTGTTTCAGTGATTCCATACTGAGAGATGAGTCTCTATTATGTCACCAAAGAGCAGTTCCTGTGGAGGGCCATTTTGCATGCAGGCGTAAACCTGATCCTACCTAGAAGAGGTCAAAGCTTGTGATGCTACAGCTAAATGCAACAGAATTACTGCAGCATATAAGCATTTTATAAAGAAAGATAGCATACAGTCTTTTATGCTTATGTCACCTGAATGGATGTAATAAATAAAATCAGTACAAGTTCTTCAGTCAATGATTCATCAGCAATATATTCTGCTAAGTGTGTACTGTTGTCACAGAAATAATTGCCTTGAATGACAAAAACCCATATATTGCCCTGAAGAAATTGATATTCAGCTGAAAATTTCACAGAGTAACCCAGAAAATAAGATTATAAAAATTGCCAGCGTGTCTTACATTTCTTCATAAATCTCTGTCTATCACAGTTGCAATATGTGTGACCAGTAACTTTAAAATGTCTCGGTCTGGTTCAGTGAATGATTTTATTAAATAACTGGAAATTTTGGAGGGGATAGATTACGTTACAAATATTTGCTTTTACCTATATATGCCTATATAAAAAAAGTAAGAAACAATTTGCAGTAGTGATACATGTTGTGACTCCTGTTTCAGAAAAGCACAGCTAATTGGTGCATATGCTACTGAATTATTGTGGCTTTATTTTTATGTACAATTTCAGCAATAGTACATGCAAAGACACCCATAGCTAAAAAACTGAGACCATTACAATATGCAGTTAAATACCAGTTTATGTCAAATAATAAGCCTCATCTCTTTGGCACCTTGTGGTGCTACAGCAATGTAAAGAGCACGTAGCCCACTTCATGGAACCATCAAGTGCGTTCTGAAGGTGGGAATTCTGGAATTCCTCCTGCTGAGTAGGGAAAAGCACCCCACCTTTTTCTTTGTAACAGTTTTAGGGGTTTGTAGTAATTTTTATTTGTCCTCTAATGTACACTAGGCTGTAGCTACCCACAAAACAATGTGAAACAGCCTGGCCTTGAGTTTAAAAATTAACATTAGCAGAACAATGAAACTAACTCTATTATTTTTAATTCATTTGAAACCCATAAAATGACTTAGTCTAATCATGTTAAAGTCTTTAATTTGCCTTTCTGCTAAAAATATTCAGCATTTTGAGATGACCTAGTTTAAAACAGCCAATGTCATCAGTCTTCATTAAAGTGTCTGCAAAAGGATACATGTTGTTACCTCACTGATTTTCGAATGCAACTCTATAGTTATATTCAGCCCTTTCTAGCAGGCTGCATCTTCAGTGTACTACTAGGAAGCTTGTCATTCACATTCAACACGCTTAATGCTATTGCATTGTACATATTTGTATCTCTATTTAGCAGAAATATAATCTCGTGTGAGACAGAGCTCAGACTTGGATCCTCTAGCATGTCCTTTTGGTGGTACATCTTAGCCATTCCTTGTTCTGATTTTCTTTTTTGGTGTAGTTAAGCATTTGGGATTGTTACTGTGGAAGGTTCGATTCTGTCTTGATTTTCCTCTCACTAATACTACAACATCACACAAGGCTCTAACGATTCAGATGTTGTACCTTGGTTACTTTAAAGTACCTGTAAGTTCATGAGCAAAATCCAGTGCAATTGGACATTGTCATATGGTGTAAATAGACTGTTTTGCTTCCAATTTTATTCTCATGTTATGTTGTGGTTTAAGCCCAGCCAGCAACTAAGCACCATGCAGCCGCTCACTCACTTCCCCCCCCCCCCAGGGGTATGGGGGATAGAATTGGGAAAAAAAAGTAAAACTCATGGGTTGAGATAAGAACAATTTAATAGGACAGAAAGGAAGAAACTAATAATGATAATAATATAAAGACAATAATAATAATAATAATAATAATAAAAGAATTGGAATATACAAAACAAGTGATGCACAAGGCAATTGCTTACAACTCGCCAACTGATGCCCAGCTAGTTCCCCAGCAGCAATCCACCCCCAGGCCAACTCCCCCCAGTTTATATGCTGGGCATGACATCACATGGTATGGAGTATTCCTTTGGCCAGTTTGGGTCAGCTGCCCTGGCTGTGTCCTTTCCCAACTTCTTGCGCCCCTCCAGCGTTCTTGCTGGCTGGGCATGAGAAGCTGAAAAATCCTTGACTTAGTCTAAACACTACTTAGCAAAAACTGAAAACATCAATGTGTTATCAACATTATTCTCATACTAAATCCAAAACATAGCACTATACCAGCTACTAGGAAGAAAATTAACTCTTATCTCTGCTGAAACCAGGACATGTTAGCATCAGTTTTAATGATAAAATTATTCTTGATTTATATTACTGCATGCAAAATCAGGATCAAGCCTGGTATATTCTAACTTGGTATGATTTCTGTGGTAAAAATGTGCATTAGCTTGTAATTTTTTAATACTAAGGTTACATACACAAAGTAATACTCAGGCTCACCTAACTTTAAAGCTTCCTGAAGAGGTAAGTGGTTAAGAGTGGAACTTACAAAAGATAGCGTGCTTAGTGGAGACTCGGGATGAGAGAATACAATAGGAA